AAAAAAGTGTGCTTTTCTGTTCTCCCTCAGAGTACCTTAGTGGAAAGTAACACAATAGTTATTCAAAAACATAAAAAAAGAGTTAAATATGAAAACCTTCTATGAAGGCTTCAAATAACTGTCAACTCAAAAGGAAATATGTCTCTCCCTGTCAAACAGAGTTGTATGGAGAATGTCACAAAGGAAGCCTGAATAACAAACCTACTTTGACAAAGAGTTTGTGTAGGTGTGTGTTTGTGATTTTTTTTTTTCCCCTCTAAGAGGTGCAACTATTTGGAAGTTGTGAAAGCAGGGATGAAAACTAAGGACAAGCAAAATCTGCAAACTAGATGGCTTAACAAGTAAGAGTGTGGGTGAGGAGATGGGGGTAGGGTAAGAAAGACCCAAGAACAGTATATCAAAGTAATTCAATCAGACTCTGTGTTTTTTAAAGAAAACACTATCAAACTGCATGAGAGACATGAAATAGCACTCAGTTATCTTCCAAGTATTCTGAAAGTTTTGAGTTTGCTGACACCATCTTCCTTTAACCACCTTTGCACCTGCAGGAATAAGGAAGACTCTTTATTTATTTGGTCTACTTGGGACCTCTAGGACAATGGGGGACTAATTCTGTCCAAGCCTTGAGGTTAAGAAAAAATGAGTAGCAGAGTTATACACTGTGTCTCAAATTCCCTTTGACAGGCTTTTTCCCAATTCCCAATGCTGTTTTGATGGATTGTAGCTAAGCGGGTATTTAAAGGACACCGGGCATTGGTGGACAAGCTGTCAAGACTTTTTCTAAGAAAGAATTAACCAGCCTGATTCCTAACCCCTGAATGTCTTGGACCTTCCCAGTGTAGCTCCTGTAACTGAATGAGCCTCCTGCAGAGAAGAGAAATGTGTGATTTTCCAGATTGGAAAAATTCCCCCAGAGCACAGACATGAGACCTCACTTAGATGCATGACACTTTGAGTCAATGAATTACTCAAAGATATCCTTCATCCATTCTCAGAGATCTTCCTAAATTGAGTCAAAATGGTTCATCAGGACACAGTAGGGTTTTAAGAGGAGCTGGGGTATGACAAAGACCCCTTAAGGAACGTCTAGAAGATAAAGGGCATGCAATAGGTCACCAATACACGAACAAAAAGAATTGAAAAGAAAGGAAGAGGGGAAAAGTGAAGATTTCTGTTTCCTACCTCAAATAGGGTCCCCGAGTTGTCATTTAGTTCTGACCCATGAAAGGAGGACTTTCAGAACCTCCCACCCAGAATTAAAACAAGAATGGAGATAATGTACCCTCCCCAAAAGTTCTCTAGAGACAAGTATCATTTACTCTTACCCCTAAAGAGTCAACCCATCTCCCTCCATGGAAACACACCAGCATAGACTGACATTTGCTTCGAGGAAGAGAAACAAAGCAGCTTACTGAAGGTGGAAGTAAAAAACAAGAAAAAATATATATAAATATTTTCCAGAAAGTATGTTTCTTTCTGTCTCTAGCAAAGGTGTTACAAGAATGATAGTGTAGAACCTTAGCCCTATATTCTACAGCATTTTATGCATACCTCTATTACAACAATACATGCCTCCCCTGCTAGACTTTGGGCTTCCCAAGGGCAAGAACAAGGCATAATGTGTATGAATACACCCAATATCTAGCACAACCCTTGGCGTATTGGGTATTCAATAAAAACTTCATTAAGGAATAAAGTACAGAACACTTCTTTTCGTTTGTTCTGATCCTACTACTGTGGTGGGCATAAGTCTGACAAAAGGTGGAAGTCAGGTGGGTACCATCTCTGTTATTACTAAAGGGGATAAAAACTGTTTTAAAAGAATCAGCCCTAGGATCCTTAAAATAAATATTACATTTGCAGTTCAGAGTACAGAAGGGCTAAGCTTTTCTTAAAAATATAGAGAGAGAAGTGAAAAATGTTTAATTCTGTAGACAAATTCTCCTAAAAACCATGGTGATCTAACCTATACACACACAGAGATGCAGTGTTAAATATATATTTAAGGTAAGCAAATACACTGCTGCTTACATAATAGATTTGTTTGGTGGGAATAGTATCAATGAAATAACCCCCCTAGAATGTGAAATTGCACAGGTATTTTTTTGGTTTTCCTGTAAAGTGACCACATTCCATAAAATATGTTGGTAAACAGCAATTACCAAAGAGTGAGGGTTAAAATGTAGGATTATGGCAATCCAGTTAGCCAGAGCATGCAGTCAGGAAACCTGAAGCAGATAACTGTGGTTAAGGAGGCATTAGAATGCTTTCAAGGACTGTTTGTTTTAGATTATAATTGTTCAAGGATTGAAACACTCACACAATTCAACAATTACACAAAACTCCATGGATCTTGGTACCACGGAGGAAAGACAGGCAGAGTTCGCACTTCTTTGTCATTGCAAATTGTGTTTTCCTTTGGAGAGAGCAGCTTGTTTGCTTTCCATACACATCTGGTGAAAGTTAGTGTTCTCTAGGGTTATGAAATATTCCAACCCTGTAAAAATAATTCTGATTTAGCCCTGAGACTCTTCTTATAAGAGTGATGTGCTGATCGCACTGTCTTGGCATTCGTCATTAAGTCTGTGATATGCAGTATGTATGTATGGATAGTCTACAGATATGGGAAGGTTTGCTGGTAGATTCTGTAGTGCAGATGTGACAAGTATGGAGCTTCCCAAATTTTTCACCCTGCAGAACCCCCCACAAGCCTATAAAAGTGGATGAGAAAAGCAGATCCTCCAAGGCAGCCTCTGTTAGTACTCCATTTCTTCTATCAATACTGGGTCAGCAAAATATAGTCCCTAATTCTCAGAGATTGAATAATGAGCAGTTCCAGTTTTATTATTCACACCTTCCTTTTCCTTTCAATTTCGTTACTGTAGATGCTTTGGGCTAAACCCACTACACTTCATGGTGACTTTTATTTCAGGGGACGAAGGACTATGTCACCAAGCAAAAGGCTGATTTATATAACCTTTTTATGGAAAGAGAAAATTCAGGAGTGAACATTGGAAATAGGAGAGAACAGGGCATGAGGAAACAGTAAAGATCTTTCCTCTTATGAATGGATTATTCATCTTATTAAAGTTAGAAGGAAAAAAACAGTTACCCTTGTTAGAACCACTTTACAATAAATTTGCTAGCAAAAGGATATAATGGGAATGATTAAGTAAGAATCCACAGAAAAGTTTTAAAAGAGAGGGTGTATTTGGAACAACATCTTCAAGTTGAGAAATATGATTACAAACGAAATCCTTGCCCCACGTGCTCTGACACTGAAAGAAAAGCTCTGACACTGAAAGAATAGACCTGAAATGGGGTGAAGCTCAGGAGTTCCTCCTTGTGAGCCTTATCATGCAAGAAAGTCTTAAATAGTCAGAAGTGACAGACACACGGAGAACAAGATGGGATGCAAATCGAGTCTGTCTTGTAAAGAGAATCAGCAAGTAATTTCCATGTCTGTGGACTATTCTCTTCACGTTCCCAGCCTACTGGAGCATTTATATCCTTTCCCCCTTATCTTTTTCCTGAAGCTGGACCAGAGGCAAAGAGTGAGGAATATCACTACAGCAAAATCACCAGGATTCATACCACCACCTCGTGCATGTGCCCAAGATAACTTCTTGAAGGAATGACTGTGTTTCATGGATGTTTTGGTATCAAAAGGGGTAAATACCCTGAAATGTGTCACTGCCTCGTCTGGGAGTTTATACCTGCAGAAAGAAGTGTGTGTGGGGCCTTTATATACATAGGATGAAGCGGATCTGAAAATGTGATGTGCTGTAGGACTTAAGGGCTCCTCTCAAATTAAGCAGTGGGGTCTTCCTGGAGCTAGTCAGAATGCCTCACACATCAGTTCATCCTAAACCTCCTAGAGAAATGGCTCAATGGACAGACATGGATTATTATGTCTATTCTAAAATGTGAAACCTGTGTTTACTTTCTTCACCGTATCTTTAGTGAGGGGAGGGAAGGAAAGAATTCTGTTTGGTATTTCTTTGCTTTCATGCAGTTTTTTGTTTGTTTGTCTGGCTTTGTTTTTTGTTTTTGTTTTTCTTTAAAGCTGAGTTAAGTTGGTTTAAGCTCTTTCATGGAACCAGGTGCTAATTTAGACTTTTATTTGAGTTGCTTTTTGCTGCAGCAGTGATATATATATCTATCAGTATAATAATCCCAGGAATAACCTAGCTAGCTTTTCTCACAAAATTGGAAGAGGCATTTTTTAAGTTATAGAACATCTACTTCCTAGCAGCTTTCTTTTTACCTCTTAGTTTCAAGCAACTATTTTCCATGCTTCCCCTAGGTATATGCTATTGTGTGCTGTTCTAAAGTGTCAGCTCTGGGAGAGAGTGGTAAGAAAGGAACAAAGCAATAGCTCACGACTATCAGGAATCCTATATTTGAAAATACTCAGGGGATGAGCCAGAGCGAACGATGATGATGAGTTAGGGTAATGGGCTTCCTGTGGGGGGAAAATTAACACACAACAAACCTCTCTTGTTCCTTTTAAAGTGCCACTGACACAAACCAGGCCCTAGCATCTTGTTTTGGTACCCTGAGTTCCCTGGTTGGAGTGGACTTGAAATGGGGAAGGGTGTTGAGGATGACTGCTTAATACCAAAGTCACAGAGCTCAGGTTCAAGGTAAGCCTGAAAGACTGAATGGTTGCAGAACTGAAGGCTGCATCTTAGAAAGTGGAAATACGGAACTGAATATGGACATGTGAACACATGTGTCTCTTCTTTGTCTAAAGTAATCAGTCTCTTGAATGTTCGCTTTCACCATTATAAGTGTGTCACAGGGGAAGGCAGTAGCCATAGTTGCCTGGTATTCTGAGCTGGTTCAAGGGGATAGATGCTGTGGTGAATGCAGGTATGTTCCAAAAATAAAAGGAAAACAGAGAAAGAGAATGACCAAAATGAAAGATAGGAGAAAGAGGAGAAGGAGAAACCAAAAATGAACAACAAAGGAAGAGTATGAGGTGGCCCTGCAGTTTTTCAGATGAAATATTCCCGCTTACAGTCGCTCACTGTGTTTTGCAAATCAATGTCATTTCTAAAGGAACTGTCCAAATTTTCCGGATATTCCTTCTCCTTCATCTGGTTGGTACGATGTGACTGCTTATGTTGGTAAAGGACGCGACTCATGATGCCGATGATTGAGAAGATGATGAATATCACCACTGCTATTACTCCTGTTGAGAAAGAGGGACAAGAGAGAGAGGGAAATTATCACAGATCATCTGATCAAGAGAGAGAATTTAATGTAGACAAGAAAGGCACTTAGGAGAAAGAACCAAACAAAAGCCAAACAACAAACTCTGCCCCATGTCCAGAAATAAACAGAGGCTGAAATGCGTTCAGTTATAAATGCTTCAGTTATAAAAAAAACCTCCTCCTTCAGGCTAGTGAGTGCTCAAGCCAGTTTCAATAAAAGGAGGTTTTATTTAATGGACTAAGAAAGCCATCAAATAGATATGGAATCAGACTAGCAAAGGATCTCTTAGTAAATTTCTTTAAGACCTGCTTTAAAGAATGTGTCTGAATCATTTTTAATTAGCACTTTCTTTGTCATCTTGCAAATAAGTATCTTAGAACTACTTTAACATCCTAGAAAATATGTAGATATCTCACTTCCTAATACCTGCTCTATGGATGTAAACTTGTTTATAGTATATTTTTGCTTTGCTAAAAATGTTTTATTAATAATGAAATGCTTACTAAATAGTCAGGGAATTCTACCCTGCTGTGCACTCTGCAAGGCATAGGCTCGTTTGAAGATGATACTCCTCTGTCCTCCAGAGTCAACTGCAATGACAAACTTCTGCCCTGTTGTGTCAGATACTATCTTACTTTGACTGTATGTGATTTTACGGGACCTACTTGGCAAGCTGTCCTCACTGACCCTAAGGTCTTGTCCCTACCCTTGCCAGAAAGGCTCTTGAGAAGGGAATAGCAAAGTCAGCAAAGTTTACAAGGCAGAGTAAAACCAGGTAAGTTAACAAATTTAGAAATAAACTGGATATAGTGAGTGATACCCAAGAATGGGCTGCAGCATTTAGAAATGAAATACAGAACCAGTTTCTACTCTATTCAGGGTGGGAGGCTGTGAACCTCCAGGAATTTTTCTCAGGGGTTGGGATGAATTTCCTGCCTTAAACAGACTCATAGAAGGCTGTATGTGGGTGGGAAGAAGTCAGCAGTCACAAAAGTCTTTTCTCCATTAGTCAAATGAGAAATTATAGGAAGAGTAACAGACACCAAATGATTTCCTATATTTCTTGTCACCAAAAAAAAATCAACTTGGACTCTTTACCCTGAAGTAGATATTCAGGTCAGACATTTGAAGGACTTCCTTAAGGAAAGTGTGTGTGTGTGTGTGTGTGTGTGTTTGTGTGTGTGTGTCTGTGTGTGTGTTTCCTCACAACCTTATTGTAACAATGCACTTCTCTCCTCCCCTTGCCATTTGTCCTTCCAGCCTAAAACACTACTCACTGGTTCTATTGTTACCTGTTTATCCATCCCACCCCACCTTGCCCCCACCAAGCTGTGAGCTCTTGCAGGGCAGCATCCATGTCTTTCATCCTTGTATTCTTGTACTTAGTGCTGGTCCTGACCCATAGTGGGGGTTCTTTCAATAGCAGTTAAATAAATGGTTACTGTTGATTTTTAAGAGCAGAACTCCACCTGGTGTGAATTAGTCCATCTAGCCTGTCAGAAAGCAGAGATGGGGCCACCTGTGAGGACCATGGTTCTCAGATGGAAATGAATTCTGTCTCTCACAGGCATCTTACATTAAACAAGTTTGGGAGTCATTCCGTGTTGCAAGGCCCAGATGGAAAAATCAAGCTCCTGGAGGCAACAGCCAAGCTGAGGCAGGATACAGAGCAGTGAGGCCAAGAGGCTGTGAGAAAATGGAAAAGCAATGGGGACGGGAGGGAGAGCGGAGCTCACAGCAGAGCAGACAAGAGCTTCCTCTGTAACAATATGTGCTGATAGATTGGAAACTATAGTCCCGTGGGCTTCACCGTGTTCATTAGATCCACTCAGTGGAGAAAACCCAACAGCACTACAGCTTTGCCCATCTGTCTGCCCCAACATGGCTTTTCCCCATATGTAGTTTTATTAGTTTGCTTTGTGCTTTAGGAAAAATGACAAGTGGATGAGATCAAAAAGATGCATGCTGCCTGTCTCGAAGTAAATTATCCAGCTGTTGACTATGCACTCAGCTGCCTGGTGGTTCAGGGAGGGATCCCTTCATAGAGCTGCTGGTGCTGGGCTTGGAGGGGAGGGTGCCTTTGATCATCCCTGCATGTGTGATTATTCATGAAAAACCTCACGTTCTTAGATGCAGGGTTCTGGGTGCTGGATAGCCACACTGAGGAAGGATTCAGGTAAGTTCCTCCAGAGCACAGAACCACTGATGTCTTTTCTGCTTTCTGCCACAAAGAATGGTTTACCTCCAATGAGAGCCGAGTCACTTTGCACTGCGTTGGTGAGTGGTTCCCGCTCATCTGTCTTCCCAAAAAGATCTGAAAGGTGTAAAAGACACTCAAAGTCCTAGAAGGAGATCTGAAATATGGCGTTGTGATGACACACCTGTGTGTGTCACCTGAGACCTGAGACCAGGTGCTCTCAAATAGTTGGCATTTTGGAAGGAAGCCAAACATACCCAAAAAATCATTTTAAGTTTACTGCTTATACCCCATAGTTTCATGACCCTGCTCGTTTCTATGTAAGTTGTAAGACAAGAGGTTAAAAGACATGATGGTGGTACTCTGCTCATATCTGCCTTGGCCTACAGCTTACCTCTCAGCCTACCCTTGAAGTCCCTTTATTCTTTACTGGACAGTTCCTATGCATGTCAACAATTTCTTCCCTCAAGCACACCTGCCTCTGATTCAGAGGTTTCTTTAATTACAAGAGATTTCTGACTCCATTGGCAGGAAAGGGCAAATTGCTGGTGAATTAACACCCCCAAGAAACCTTCACACATTTTACTATATGTACATTAACATATACAGTGTAAAAAAAACAAAGAGCATAAAGTTTGAAGGCACATAGACCTGGTTTCGAATCCTAGCTCTGACACTTATTGGTCTGGTGACATTGAGAAGTTATTTTATTTTTTTTTTTTTTTTTTTTTTTTTTTGCTGTACGCGGGCCTCTCACTGTTGTGGCCTCTTCCGTTGCAGAGCACAGACTCCGGATGCGCAGGCTCAGTGGCCATGGCTCACGGGCCCAGCCGCTCCGCGGCATGTGGGATCTTCCCGGACCGGGACACGAACCTGTGTCCCCTGCATCGGCAGGCGGACTCTCAACCACTGTGCCACCAGGGAAGCCCACTACATACATTTTTAAATAGCAATCTTCAAATGTATTAAAGGGAGTTAATGATCCTATAGGTATGCATATAGTGCACATAAAATTGTCAGGACCTATAGCACCTCTCATTAGTATTGCTGTATCATTTAATCCTCAGGAAATGACTACAACATGATTATAATATTTTCGTATCTCACATATAAGGAAATTATATCAAAGCCATTAAGTAACCTACCCAAAGTTCTATAGTTCACTCATGGAAGATTCAGAATTCCAATCAAGGTTAGCCAAGTGTGGTTTTCAGGTTCTTTCTAGTGTACATACCTGACCATTGCCAAGAAAACACCAAGATTGGTGATGAGCAGGCAGCAGCAAAACTCTGTGCCCTTTCTTTGCTTGTAATTCATAACTTATTCGGCAATTGATGACCACACCTGATTAAAATAAATCCTAAGAACACTCCAAGACACCTAGGATGACAGTGACTAAGAAAATGTATTTCAGGAAGTGGCAAAATAAGAGAAGGTATATGGATGGTAGTCCTGTGGGACTTTCCTTTTATCAAGGAAGGTCGCTTTTAATCACATGAATTGTATTATTGATAGACAAACAACCAGCCTGCCTTTCCAACCCCTAAATTCTTTAATCCTTAGAGCAGCAACCATTTAAACAATAATGAATATATAT